GGTTAGCTTGTTTTCAGTTAGCTGATTAGCTGGTAGCTGGTAGCTGGTAGCTGGTAGCTGGTAGCTGGTAGCTGGTAGCTGATTAGCTGGAACTTTTGTAATTAAATACCCATAATTCCGATCGCTTGATCTCGATATCCACAGTGTGCACATTTGAATTTTACGCAGAAATTGCTTGATCCCTTGTTTCCTGTTTTTTAATTGGCTGTTTGTTTTCCCCAAACGACACTCTTCACGGGATATGGAATAGGAATTAGATTAATCTGTAGAGCAATTAAGAGAAATCGAGATCGTGAGCAATCGAGATCAAGCATTGATCTTGATATCCAAAATACAAGATTGTTCCCACCTAAGGGTAAAAACCACACTTTTTGTAAGAATAAGAATGTTTTCTTCTATCTCAATTCTAAACGGTTTTCAATTTTCTAAAGTGCTTTACAACAGAATTGCACACTTTTCTCTCCACTAATGCATAGATTGCATAAATTGAAAACTAGAAAATATCTCGAAGGACAATTTTGGAAAAGAACAAATAATGATTAAAATGAAAAAAGATTCTGAGAAACGAAAAGAATATCTTTTTATTAAATTCTTGTAAAGTTTTCAAAAGCTTCTTTATTTATGTAGATTTTTTCTCAAAACTTCTCTCGCCAAATTCTTAATAATTTTTGCCAAAATTGCTAAAATTGCCCCCCCCCCCACACCCCAAACAAACGAATAACAAATTATTGCGTTTGAGTTTTAAACCTGATTTTACAGGTTAAACAATGAAGAGTATTGTCCTGCAAAACAGGATTTGATTGAAGAAAAAGCTGAATTAGGTCTTGCTAGTTGAACTAAACCCACCTTAACTAAATCTTTCCATTAAAGGGACTATATACCTAATTTTAACTGACCATTTATTTAAAAATTGGCAAAGATTAATTACGATGCCTGTTAAACTTTTGTCTCATTAATATCCTATCAGATACCTTTTTGTTTAAAGGATACCGTTGTGAATCGGACATGGAGATTCAATTGAAATGACGTCTAGAGTCCCTTTAACTCCGTCTTATGTAAGCTAACGTTTTTGTGTAACTCTCTGTATTAGAATCCTATAAGAGAGATTAAATGCTCATTATGGTAATCTCCGTATATCCAGCATACAGCCAGCATAATTAGAGAGGAAAACGAGAAATGAAAATATTTTAGATTTAATATTTTATGTTTAAGTGTTACAGGGATAATTTTCTCCAGAAATAAAAAAATTAAAAACCCAGTTTTTATTAAATACCCTGAATATCAATTGCGGATGTTCAAGTCAGTAAAATTATCAAACTAATTAAAAATACTAAACTTAAAATTTACTTTTACAGATATATCCCGCACTAAAAGAATAAATAACAAATTACGTAAAATGAATTCGATTAAATCGCAGTTACTTAAAGTTAAATGTAGACGTAATTTAAAGTGCTCTCTGTTTATATGGTGGCACATCCGGTTCACGACTGTATCTTTAAAAAGCTTTGAACGATCAATCATGCATGAGCTATCAATCATAATCTTGTTCAATGTTGGCAATTTTCAAATGTGGTTTCTCTAAAAAAGTGATTTGCGCATTTCTGCATCAGAAACAACGGAGGCAATTTTCAAAATTAAACAAATTTCATTCTACAAAACTAAGATTTTTCCACATTGATCTGAGCGAGGTTTAAAGGGTACTATAGTGAATCCAGCATTTCTTTTTTTAAATGGATCATTACTTGAAATAACAAGGACAGTCCCTTTAAATGTTTATTTGTTTTGAATATCTAGCCGTCATGTCAACAAGTTGAGACGTCATGGAAGTATTACCTCTCATCCTGGGGTATAAGGTTTCCGTTAGGACTGTACCATCTTAGATCCCTAAATTGTTATGATTGAAGTTTTTTTTATAAATGAAGAAATCAATGATTTAGGAAAAAGTAGATATGACAATTTCGGAAATTGAAAATTAATATTTGAATAAAGATTAATTTGAAAAATGGAAAAATTAAATTATAAAAATATTTCGTGTGATTTGAATTTAAAATGGTTTTGAATGTTGATGAAAATATTAAGGGAAGAGACAAAAAGAAAACCAAAATATAGAGTGTTTGTTTTTTATAGTGCAGAGGTGAGAAATATATGTTGTAATAAACCTTAATTGATTAGTCACATTTCAACTAAAAGGCTCATATAAAGATGTTTTTTTATATTTTCCTACAAGCATTGCCCGTGAAAAAAAAATTTGAAAAAAAATTGAGAAAAAAATTCGATTTTTTAGCCTATTACACCCATGAGTGTCAACAAAAAATTTCAGCCCAATCAGTCCAGCTATACGTAGCATATATATAAATGTCTTGTTTTATTATTTAGAAAAAAAGGTTCTTTTTTAAAGTACAATACGTTGCTTAGGATGCTCATAAATTGGATAAAAGAGAATTAGATTAAATTTATATCTATATATATTTAAACATAACATATGTAAATATAAATATGTATTTATATATACATATATATATATATATATATTAGCTGGTTAGCTGGTTAGC